AACCGCGCTATGCTAATTAGTGCTGATGTTTTTAGACCTTCACTTCTCTAGACCTCCCAGTATTCTACAGCCTTACCCTAACCCTCCAAATATATGCGGATTTAGGGGCTCTAGTACCCTGTATAGTAGGTAGCTGGAGGGTTATTGTTATTCTATCTATCCGACAATAACATAGGTTGGTCAGTAAGGCCACTGTACTACGCCACACTTATATAAAGGAATCATAGTAAGGAACCCTAAAAAGGAAGGTTTCATGGGGTTAAGGTAAACCCTAAGCATCTACCGCTACACACTCAATTCTAGCTAGCCCTAAACAGCCCTAACCACCCTAGGTGCTTCCCCATAAAGCTAAAACCAGACAAGTATCTAATACATACAGCCCATGAAGCTATACAAACCCTGAACCACTAAACCCTAAACCCCCAAACCCCTGAACTCCTAAACCCCACAGCCCTAAGCTTTAAAGCCCGGTCAACAAAACCCTAGAAAACCCTCCAAGGCCCTGCAAAATCCTCATGAACCAGCCCTACGAGTCCCGGTATATGAGGCTTAAATGCCAAAAGAACCTTAAACCCTAATCCCTATAATCACTCATCCCTACTCCCTAAACCCTGATTCCTAAACCCTAATCCCTAAGTCCTAAACCCTGATCCCTGATTCCCATAAACCCTACTCCTTTAACCCTACAAACCCTAAAGCCTGAATCCGCCAACTTGAGGTATCTTCGAGCGGCTGGGAGACTGGCTGCAAAGGACCTGGGGCTACTGGGACCGAAGGTAGGCAAGGTTGATTGTGCTTTAGGGCTTGACATTGAGGGCTGAAAGGCTTTAAACCCTGAACCCTAAGGTTTCAGTTGAAGTGTAGGGTTTAGGGTTGGGGGGGGGGTCTGGGGTTGGGGTCTTTAAGGTTTGGGGTGCTGTAGGGTAGGCCTTTAGCTGTGTTAATCGGGATTCTCCTAGGGCTTCATTGGGTTTTGGGGTTTAGGGGACTCATCGTGTTTTTGGACAGGGTTTATGCATTGGGGTTTAGAGTGTTCTATTGGGGATGTTGTCTCTATTCCAAGGGATTGAATATAGGGTTATATCCATATTCATAGTTCCCCAGACCCGGCTCAGGGTTTGGGCATAAAGGGCTTAGGATTTGGGGGTTAGGCGGTCTAAGAGTCGAGGGTCTAGTGGCTTGAGAGTTTCCGATTTTGTGGGGCGAAGATGATACAAGTTTTCCCAGAGGGTGCAAAGAGACTACCATTATGGACTCAGGCCCCTAAAGACCATTCTAAGCATGGTCTTGGGGGGGCCTAATTCTAGAATAGTAGTGTATATGGACCCTCTTGGATATTCTCTCTTCCAGGCCTTGATGCTAAGGCCCCTATTGCAGTCTCATGATGGGGGGTTGATAAGCAGGGGTGTATATTGACCTAGAACAACCGCCAGGCACGAATGGCGCATCCTCAACCGTAAGCTCGAACCTTGAAGCTCACGGGCAACAGCTGAACCGACTGTCACGTTCAATATAGGAGCCTCAATAATTAGAATAGGGCTTTGGGGCCCATCATGCTATACTGTTTATGGGCTTTCAGGTCCAGTACGTGCTTGGGCTTTAGGGTTTCGAGCCCTGGAGCATCCCCCCCATAGAGTCTCGAGTAGCCACCGTGACGGAGAGAAGCCCTAAAACTCCACACCCCATTTGCCCTTCTGAGACTTCATTCAGTCTTGCTGTAAGAAGCAGACGCAGCCCGCCAGATGTGGCTTTTCGCGTAGAGCTACAGCACAGACTGCGTTGGCGCTGTACGGAAAAACGGCCCTTCAGAAAAGAAGCACTTTAGGTACACAGCAGTTGCTTTGGGTTTGGGGTGTTCGGTCTTGTGATTACCATTATTTCTCTTTCGTATTGCTACAATGAGCAACCCCATGATTTCCACTGGTGGCGTTGTGCAGTTGTGTTGCCTGTTGTTCCTGCTACAGTTCCTGTTGCCACAGTATTGGGGCTCGACCGGGCAGTTTTAGCCAAGAAACTCTTCTTAGTGGTCGAAGCCAAGTCTTTTTTTCACTTTGGGTCTCTGATATGTGCGAATGAGTCTTTTCCTGAGACTTGTAACCTTTCAAGCATCGGATATCGGCCAAGAATTTAATCAAGAAGGCCGGGTTTTTCCGTCTAGAGGGACTTTTGCCCCTAAATCCCAAACCCTAAACTCTAAAGCCTAGTATCCTAAAGCCTTAGTTTTAAAGGATGTGGCCCAAGGTCTCGTGGTACACTCCACGGATATCCGGCCCGACATCTACGTGCCGCCTGGGCCTCAGCCTCTGACATGTGGTCGATTTTGGGGTTCAGGGTTTAAGGTTTAGGGTTTAGAGGTTCAAGGGATTATGGACTAGGGTTTAAGGGGTTAGGGTTTAGGGTTAAGGCTCTTAGGTGTTAGGGTTTAGGGGGTTAGGTCGTTTAGGCTCTTCGGGCTTCGGGTTTAGGGGTTCAGCTCGGGGCTAGGGAACTCTTAGCCTAAACCCGACTTCCCAAGGGCTATTTGGGACCCAAACCCTTAGCTTAACCCCTGGGCCCTAGACCCCAAGCCTCAAAAGCCCGTAACCGTAAGCCCCAAAGCCCGGAGACTCAACAGAAACGCCCTAAGGCTTGAGCCCTTCGGTGCTGTTTCGATCCTGGGGTTTAGGGTTGAGGGTTTAGGGTTTAGGGTTTCTGGTTGCCCTTGAAGGTGCAACCCACTGCAGTCGCCAAAGCTCCGATTGCAAGTGCGGCCGATCGACGAGTGGGGACGGCTGTGTGACAGGAGACCAATATAGAAATTTCAGTAATTACCAATATTATTCGTTAAAGTTCCTTGGCATATATTACACACACACACATATATATATATATGTATGTACCGCTATATATGTACCTATCTATATATATATATATATAGAGAGAGAGAGAGAGCGACAAGAGTCTACCTTTTCTATTCTATCCAGGCCCAGTATTGCATCTTGCATCTTCCGTTCGGGGAGCTTCCCCAAACCGGCTCAGCCCTAAACCGTAACACCTGAGTTAGTCCCAAACCCACAACACCAAAGCCCCAAGCTCCCAAACCCTACAGAACCCTTAGCGTCTAGAAGCCTTACTATACTAGACCCCTATAGCCTTGGTCGAACCCCTACTGAGCCTTTAACCCCCAAACCCTACAGAACCCTTAATGTCTAGAAGCCTTACTATACTAGACCCCTATAGCCTTTGTCGAACCCCTACGGAGCCCTCAAGCGTCCTCAGTGTAGAAACCTTGCTTGGGCAGAGGAGTTTCGCTGCTGGGCCACAGCAGGTCAGGGAGATCTTTAGGTTAGGGGCTTAGTCTTTGGGGATTAGGGTTTAGGGTGTAGGGCACCCGATCCTGTGAGCTGTAAAGGTTCTAGAGGGGACCGATCGGCTTCTTTATCGGGTTTAAGGGCATTAGGATGGCAGTTTTGTGATGTTGATAAGTATTTTGGGAGTGTATGGGGCACCTCTCTCGGGCGGTTGGGTGTGGGCTTTGCGTTGAAGGTGTTAGGTCTTCCAAGTTGGGGGTCTCAGGCCTTAGCCCTGTGGTTTTAACAGATTTCAACCCTAAACCCCTAGACCCCAAACCTCCAAGCTTTAAGCCCTAAGCCCGAAACCGTTTAATTTTCGGGCTGCTGTGCAGATCCAGGGGCCTGGGAGGTATGTGAAGACCAGTCCCACTAGCTAAGTTGAGTGCAGCGAGGCTGTTCGGACCTGAGGAGAGGGTAGTTTAGGGGCCTAGGGTTGCGGGTTTAGGGAAGGTAGGTTATGGTAGGTTTACCAAAGAGGGTCCATACGTACGACCATTGTGGAACCGGGGCCCCAAAATCGACTGTAAGAGTGATGTTTTATTGGGGACCTAGCTTCATGTTGATGGTAGTATATATGGACCCGGGTAAGGTAGTCTGCAAACGCACAAGTTCATCAGCAACATTCATAACAAGCCATGGAAAGATGACGCTAGGTAAAGATTACGGTAGTACTCAAAATCACAGGACAGTATTGCACATGGTGTGGAACCAATCTGCAAACTGGCTTCGGAAGCCTATGCTGTTCCTTGGCCCCAGAATTTTTGGAATTCAGGCTGTAGCGCAGGCCCACCCCCCCAAATGCAAACCACGCACCCTACACCCTAAACCCCTGAACCCTAAACCCCTAAACCCTAAACCCCAAACCCTTACACCCTAAACTCCTAATCCCAAAAACCCTAAAACCCTAAAATCTTAAAACCCCAAACCCCCCTAAACCCTAAAACCCCTGAAACCTCAAAGATCCTTTGTGGTCTCTTGGAGCAGGCTGATGGCCAAGTCCTGGGAGCCAACCGCTTTCTGAAGACGCGGGGCAAAGATGGGGAGAGCAATATGGGCCCTTTGGCACGACGTAGGCGAGAGGTATTTGTGTATCTGTCTGTCTGTCTATCTGTCTATCCATCTCTCATATGCTTTCTTATTTATGTACCGACTCGTTTATCTATTTTTAGATTTACATACATATGCATTTATATAGGTGTATTTATGTATTTATTCATTTTTAAACTATTTATTCATCTATTTATGTAGTTGGTTGATAGTTTTGTCCTATATACATATATATATATATACACATACATGTATGTATGGTACGTACATACGTACTGATATCATCTGGATTTAGGGTTTTCAGATACGCCGTCATTATGGGCTGGAGGGTAAGTCGATTCCTCGTTTTTTGTTTTTTTTTTTGTCGGCTTCCAGGCCCCTAAACCATTCGCCCGAAGCCCTAAAGGGCCCACTGCTGCTACTGATATGCCCCCAGCGGTCTCTTGCCTCTCTCGATATCTTTGAAACCTTCTCGTCTTTGACAGCCTTCATACAGCAAAGCCGGTCCTGCACAGAAGCACATGCCTTAAAGTTCGGCTCCCCGTTTCGGGGTTTATGGGATTCAGGCTCTGGGGCTTTAGGGTCTACAGTTTATGGGGCGATCGCGGAGGCAAGTTGACAATGGCCCTCGTGAGCTTCATGACAAACACCTGTGGCTGGGGACTGAAGTTCATCGATGGCTGCAATCTGGGCCGATTCTGGGCAGACTTTGGCGACACAAAGTCTTAGTGACGAAGTGAGTCGTCAGAAGTATAGGTGATGCCCCCGTGTGACTGGGTATCAGTGGGCATCTCAGATTCCACCGATGCTTTAAGGAGACTCAACACTTAATCTTGTTGAGGTAACCGCCTTATTTAGGACTTTGATTGACATTTCCAAACTTCATGGGATCCATCGGCAACCAGAACCAGAGCCCCGTGAACATCCCGGAGATTTCGTAAAAGAACGAATACCCAAACCCTAAACCTCAGGAAATGGGCAGATCCGGGAGATGCAGATGAAGTTCACGGCACCTCATCCACTGAACCTGGTGGCCCCACACCTGATGATTGACCTTCGCCAGGCAGGGTACATCGCCACTCGGCGCTTAGGGGTTTAAGGACTATAGCGGCCTGAATAATTACCATTACTCTTGCTTGGGATTCCAATGCTGTTTATACCACAGTGTACTACAACATATATATATATACCCGAAAGCCCTATTCTTATTGTTAAGGCTCAATAATATGACTTCCTGAGTTGTGGAAAAGTGCTGTTGCCTTCTAAGTCCCCTCAGCCTGTGGCCAACCCGAGAGAGGACAAGGTCAACACGATAAACGTGACAGCACGCTCGAAAAGATCCCCAATCTTCATCACCAGACTAACAATAAAAATTGATCATGAAGCCCTCAAGAATTCCGCTTAGACACCCTTCCAAACCCTAAGCCTTTCTAAACCCTACACCCGATCCCCTCTAAAGCTTTCAACACCCCAAAAGGCCCAACAAAGCTCCCTCAAAAAACAAACCCCATACATCTTGAACCCTGAACCCTAAGCCCTACCCCCCCCCCCCC